GACTTTGATCTTGCCCAATTCTTTCGCAATGTATCTTTAAAATTTCAGACGGTATACGGCAGCTTAGTTGAAAAGGCGCTGTGCACCACAACATGAAATACGGTATACTAAGAATAAAGTGTAAGCCAGCAGATAAGCGTAGATCTACTTTTGGTTACTGGATACGTGAAATAATAATAAGAGCAAAAAATGTAGAAAATGCTTCCTTGTCTTTTAGACTTCAAATCCACCACGCTGAATGGATTTTTATAGGGCATATACTTGTTCATGACCTCTAGTGTTAAGAAATTCTGTCATGTTTGAAAACTAGTCCCTAGTGGAGCCCGTATCCCTGTTAATAGCTGAAAGGTCAGTGGAGCTGCTAAACAGTTTGTATTACTGTCAGGGTGGCCATGAAAACACCACCTGCTGCAAGAGGGCTTGGCAGCTGGGTCAACAGGCACTGTGGGAATTTATCAACTTAGGGGGGCCACTTGCATAAAACTCTGACTGATGAATTGGGACTAGACTGGCTTATGGGGTGAACGCAGTTCTATTATGTATGACTTTCTTTAGGATGGTAGAGCTGCCTGCTGGCTCCCTGAGACCTGTGTGAAGGAGAAACAGAACTGATTTCCTCTTATGAAGTGACTTTTTTTTTTTTTTTTTAAAGAAAGCACTCTTGGGCATCCAGCATAATGAGTAGGATGAAGATAGTAAGAAAAAAATAAACAAAGAGCAGTAAGTGGGGCCGTGGGGGGAGGAGACCCGAAGGGCAATTTTTGCTATTGGTCACAGAGGAGTTTGGGATACAACATTTCTGTAAAATGACCTCTCAGGCCTGGAATTTGCATTGTTAATTTATAGACCTCCTATGGGAATGATTCATGTGACTTGGTTGGGTAACAGACAAGCAATATGTTAAAATATAGAAACAGTGGGTACACAGTAATTAAATCACCATGATTAAGAATAATTTTGTTTTACAAATTCCTAGAGCAATAAACCCTGAAAGCATTTTGGAAATCAAAAAACAAAGGTCATTTGGCTTAAGTTCATTTGAAGCAAAAATTAAGAAATTTTTGCAGTAGTGTGAAAAACTCGTGTTCTATGAAAATAAAGCTTAGAAGTTACATACCTCTGTCAGAATTCTTTAATCCCCCCCCAACCCCCCAAGAGCACTGGCTTAGTTCTGGTAAGATTTAGTAAAGAGAGCAAGCATCCAAGGCAGGACTTGGACATTTGAAAACTAGGTATTCAGAGTTCTTCTGTTGTTTTTTTGAGACAGACAATCATTATGTTGCCCTTGGTAGAGTGCTGTGGCATCACAGCTCACAGCAACCTCAAACTTTGGGCTCAAGCGATCCTCCTGCCTCAGCCTCCCAAGTAACTGGGACTACAGGTGCCCACCACAATGCCTGGCTATTTTTTAGAGACAGGGTTTCGCTCTTTCTCAGGGTGGCCTCAAACTCCTGAGCTCAGGTAACACTCACCCCGGCCCCACAAAGTGCTAGGATTACAGGCATGAGCCATCGTGCCTGGCCTGGTATTCAGAGTTCTTTGAAACTCCATGGATATCTTAAACCCAATTTTGGAACTAAGAAAACCTTAAAAGTTGAGATAGCAACTGAAAATAATCCTGAATTGTATAGAATGAATACCAACAATATTGAAGAATTTAATGTGTCTAGGTCTACTTCAACAGTCAATATTTAAAAATATTAAATATATATTATTTAATTACTTACACAGCCCTCTGTAGAAATGGGGCAGGGGCAGAATGATGATCTGTATTTTTTTGATGGCCAAAAGGGCACAGCGCAGTGAGGTAGCCCACACGGGAGCTCCCATGAAGGAAGATTCGGAGACGGGACCAACTGGCTCCCTGTCTCACCAGGGCAGACCCACTCTTAGCCTTGACTAGTTTCAGATGGCACTAAGTGAAACTGAAATTATTGCTTAGATGTCGTGCTTAGTACACATGTCTCAATCTGTCTTCCAGAACTGCTAGTGGAAGAAGCCCCACTGTCCCCAGGCCAGGTTATGCTGAACCCAGTACAGAGAGTTTGGGGGACCCTGTGAATTGGCTGAATCTGCCTGGTGGGGTTTTTTTTTTTGCAATTTTTGGCTGGGGCTGGGTTTGAACCTGCCACCTCGGGCATATGGGGCTGGTGCCTTACTCCTTGAGCCACAGGTGCCGCCCAGGTGACTGGCGTTGATCCTAAAGCACCACTCTGCTGTGAGATGTGACTTCCCCATTCATGAAGATATTCCTGAAGTGTGTTCACGATTCCAAAGTGAAGGAAAAATTCATTCCTTTTCTGCTTTCCTAGGGAAGTTTTTTCCCCCTTAAATAACTCCTGAGTTCTAGATTTTTTTTCATTATAAATAATGGTATATAAAATTTATAATAGGTTATCTTAACATCCTGTTCTGAGAAGGCTGTTCACTGTAAGTTATTTGAAACTTAAATAAAAGATTATGTAACTAGTAGCCTTAGATCTAATTGTTCATAAAGATGGGGGTAATGCTGGGACTTTATCTGCTTTTGCCAAAATGACTTAAGAGATACTCATATGATTTCTAAACTCCCTCATTGTGTGTGTGTGTCTGTCTAGAGCAAACATAAAAAAAACCATAAACACACCAATCCTATGGTAAGAATGTAACTTCTGTGACACATGATATAGAATATAAAAATTTTGTATTTTTATAATTTGGTGTTTTTCTTTTCCAGGGCCATAAATCAACTGGTATTTGAGTTATTCCGAAACCATCATTCTAACAAATCTGGGGTCTTCTCTATTAGAATGCAATTAAACTAGGAGTTTAATTTGTGTTAGATTTTTGATGTAACAAAAAACAACCTATATATTGTTTTTTCTAGGTGATGAGGTTTTTTTCCCTTCAAATTCTGCCTCCAACGTTTTAGAAAAACTGTTTTGCTGTGGCGCAGACATCCTGAATGCTACTATGCTAGTAATTAGCTCGTTTGTTTCCAAAATAATCCTGCTCACATACTTAAGTATCTGCTTATACAGAACTTCAACTCATCCGGGAAGAAATACTATAATAATAAATGCTGACGGCCAAATCGAAACAGCATGAGGCTCCCAAAAAATGTTTATGAAAATATTTGTTTTCTTATAGTCAGTTTAATTTTGAAATTTATGCCTCTGCCTGTGTACAAGGACAGTGTCTCCGGGACTCTGTTACTTCCCCCACCTTCTGAAAAGCAAACACACATCTTAACCCAGGCCCCCCACACGACATGACTCACCAGGAGCAGGCACCATAATGAGAAGTCAGGCTTTCAGGTATGTCACTCGGAGACCACCCTACTTGAGGAGCCCTAAGATCACAAAGCCAAGGTCCCTCATGGCAACCCGGGTAATTAGACACTAATAATAGATTGGAGGTGTAAAATTCACCTCAACTCACCCACAGACTAAACAATCCAGATGAAAAGAGAAAGAGTTTTGTGAGAAGAGAAGAATTCATTACAATACTCCTAAGGAGGCTTGCAAAAGCGGATCAGCTTTGACAACGTAATGGAGTAACAATGACTACTTTGAAACTAATTGCATTCGATCTAAGTGAAATCCTTACACCTCATCATTAATCATTAGAAAGGCTGCTGTTTTATGAATTAACATTAGTTTGGTTTTTATTCTTAATGTTGCCAATTTCAACAATCACCTAAGTGTCTGTTATTTTATTTTTTTTTCATTCATTTCTTTGCTTTTCTCAAACAGGACATTACTTTCACTCTCAAAGAGGGAAAAAAAATCACTGTGAGGTACAGGTGGGCATTTCTCTTATTGTGAAAGAAAAAGGATAAGTTGACAGAAAAGTAAGGCGGTCAGGCTACGATATATGCGATGTGACACTGTCCAGAGACCATCCAGAATTGATTATTCTTCTCTTTGTTGTGCAGAAGCCAATACCCACCTATGTTTCTCTTAGGAAAGAACATGTTTTGTGGCACAGAAAAGGGACAAGAATGTCCATTAGTCAGTGGCTTTGTCAGGAAAATATACAGTTACAAATAATATTTTTTAAAATGGGACTTGATCGATGCCTTTAATAAAGTTTCAGATGGCTAGAATTTCTGCTTTTGAAAGAGACTAGAAATTCAGGAATTTCAATTTACAAATGGGCTCATGAAAATAAGTGAATGTAGTAGGAATATAAAACTTGCTGCATGTTGGGGCCAAAGTGTAACTAGTACAAGTGTTCAATAGTAGTCCTACCCGTGAGGATACTTAGGTTTTGTTACGGTTGACTGTTTCTAAACTTACGACTAATGTCTAATTGTAGCAGCTTCTGAGAGTTTGAGTTTTAGCCATGAAATTAACAGCTGACCAGTGACAATTCAAGATGACTGGAAAGTGTGGACGTAGTGAGGGGTGGATGGGAGGAAGCAGGGTGAAGAGAACATCCTCTTTAAGGGATTAGATATACAGATCTTCCCTTCACTGAGTCAAATAACAAAACGCTTCTTCAGGGTTCATTTGTTCAGTCGTAGCACGCTTCCCGAGGGCTGTGAGCTTTCAGACATAGGGCTTTGAAATGAGGCTCAGATGCTGAACTGCCTAAATACCTTATCCTGATGACCTTACAAAAATCATACTAAGCAGCTGCCGTGCCTCCAAGCCCGTGGCTCCTTTCCTCAACACTAAGGAGGGTTTTATTGCCTCCAACATCAGAGCCTATTCTGCCTCACACGGCAGGGTCTCCTCTCGCTCTTCACTGGGGCCTCTGATTCCATAAACATCATTCTGCTCTGTGGTGACAAGAGTGACACAAACGAGCTTTTAGAGTTCTGCGGAGTCCAGTCCAGCCCTCATAGACTGGAGTAAAGGGTCTTCTCAGGACAGCCCTTGCTTAGCCTAAGGAAAGGGTAGAAGCATTCATCTCGGCTGCTTGCTAAATGTAACTTTTCCATTGCTGGTTTGAATGAATTAAAATAATTTGAGTAAGAACATTACTTGACTGAAAGGGATGACAAGAAATCTCACCTTTTGGGATCTATAATTTTGTAGAGTTTTCCATTGTGACTCTGGGTCATACTTTTGCTGCTTGATAAAATGTAAACTTCACCTGTTGAAGGGAGAAATAACAGTAAGTAAATTCATAGCATCATGAGACCTTACTTCCTACTGCCCAGCAGATACACTGTATGTACCAGCACCACCCATCCTCGGGAGAATCACTTCCTAAAGGTTATGAAAGACTCCCACCCATCTACCTCCACAGTGCGCATGCCCTGGACTTCCTTCCACATCCAGTCCTGCTCCAGGCAGGCAGATAGTCTCTCTCTCCTGGACTCTGGCAACAGCCTTCTAACCGAGCTCCCTGTTTCTTCCCTTGTTCTTCTAGGGGTACCCTCAATGTGTCAGCCGCGATTCTTTTCAGAGGACTTAGATCATGTAAGTTGGTTCACATTCCTTTGTTTCAACGCCCTCCACTAGCTTCTCATCTCTCTCACAGCAAAAGCATGACCTGCCAGTAGCCATGAGGTCAATGCTCTGCCTCCTCTCTCCCTCTCTCTGTCCCACTGGCCCCTTGGCATGGTACATGGGAGGAAGCTTCTAGTCTCAGGCTCCCGTCTCAGCTTCTTGCTGTCTCAGGCTCTGTCCCAGGTCCTGTCTCAGGCTCTGTGGTCCTGTAGGTCTCCACTAGATCCCCTTTCCCCCTCCTTCAAGTCTAGGCTTAACTATCACATTTCCTGACTGCACTATTTAAAACTCTGACTCCCCCAACAATCCCTCTTCACTATTAGATTTTTCATCAAAGCAATTATTTTCTAAGGGAAACATTAATTTTTTTATTGTCCCCCCTTTACAATATAGAATTCATGACATCAGTTTAGCCTTTTTGTCTCTTTCTCTGTTGCCACGTCCCTAACCCTTAGAACACAGCTTTGCGTAGAGTAGGTGCTCAATAAACATAGAATGAGCACTGAATGGACAAGTTTCACATTAATTGATGTCTGTGCAACAATAAAAGACTTTGGTTACCAATTTGTTTCTGTTAATTATCAATGGATTTGGGGCACTCTTTTTAAATCTTTAGCTCTTTAAAAGATACTAAAATATATTAAAGCAAACATTGAAGAAACTGAGAGAGACACAGCGGGAGGGCAAGAGCATGTCGCTCTATCTCAACTCTAATTCTCTAACTCTTGGTGCTAGGCTGTGCTCATGATGATGAAATGCAGCAGGTGGGGGCTGCTCTCTTGCAGGAGAGAAGCACCCTTATTTATTTCTACTTCTTCCATAAACTCGATGTATAGGATGGGTCGCAAGAATAGGAAATTAGTATTTATAATTACATGTCTACCCGGTTTTGAAATTTATATTTGATTTCCTCTCAGGAAACAGTCCCCATTCCACTCGATTTTTGTGCATTTAGCACACCCTACTGCTTTTCTGCTTTTAAAAAGAATTTTATGAGGCTTCTACTAAAAATGCAGACACACTGGAAAAAAATAAAAATGAAGGTAAAAAGCAAAGGAATGTAAGAGAAAGAATTAATACTTTATTTCATCAAGCACTTTATATAATATACTTCATGTAATTCTTGCGACAATTCCATCCTGATTTAAAAAAGAAAGAATACGCAATAAAAAAGATCCCCACCACTTTTTATTTCAAACGATGCAAAAAACTCAGCTCGTTTTCTTCTCTTTGACTAAAGCTAAGGGGTTTCACGTTAAAATGTGAGTCAGTAACAGTGTATTTCCTTTAGTTATAAGGGACACGCAGAGTCAAGATGACATACGCTTTATTTTTTTGGTTGTGCTCTCAACATAGTATTCAGTATTCACAGACATTTAGGATATTTTAAGCAGTGGTGCTAATAATATGACGACTGATAGGAAATCATTTGTAGTAAGGTCTGGGAAATCAAAATAATTTAGTCACAACATCATCCCTAATTCTGTTGCCAATAATTCAGTTATTTTTAAAATCAGAGTTTGCCAATGAAATTAAAATTATATTGCAGAGGCTGTAAGTGAGAAAAGGTATCTCTCTAGTTCCTTCGAGTAGGGTGGGAGAATACCAAGGAAAAAACTTAATTACGAAATGCTTTAAATCCTGTGACAAGAAAAAAACAGACTGGACTTCTGCTGTTTAAACTGTTACATTCCTGTGGCTCTGAAATGTCCTATATGTTTCAGAAATCTTCTTTAAGTCCCTTACTAATTCAAATGAACAGCATGGAACTATTTGTGGTGAATTCTCCATGTGATACATGCAAACCAAATCTGGACTTTTAGAGAAAATATTCTGAATTACATTACATGGGAAACATACGCTTCTTTATTTATGCCTAGAAATCCATCTCTGAAGCTTAAGGAGAATGTAGCCATGATTTGTTTGAATATTATTCTTTAAATGGAGTCATTATGAAAGCTACATTGACCCCTATAATTTAAAATAAGTAGAGAGTAAAATTTTTACATGCTGATTAATCATATTCCAATTTCAACTTCTTTTGCTTAAGAAGTTAAGCTGCTTAAATTTTGATAAACATACCAAGAAATACATGTTACCCCATAGATTCTCAATGAGACAGTAATTTCTAATCTGGAAATAAGATCTACAACTCAGATTATTTTGGGCAAATTTCATGGCCCCACAGGCAAAAAATTAGAAAAGTAGAAAATGGATGGTAAGGCAAGTTTCAGATTCCAAGAAATTTCTCATCTATTCCAAGAGACATGGACAGGTGAAAAGGATTTTAGATAAAAAATATAAACGAATTAGGCTCGGTGCCTGTAGCTCAGCGGCTACGGTGTCAGCCACATACACTGGAGCTAGTGGGTTCGAACCCAGCCCAGGCCTGCCAAACAATGATGACAACTACAACAACAAGAAAAATAGTCGGGTGCTGTGACACAGCCCACAGCACTCTACTGAGGGCAACATAGTGAGACTCTATCTCGGGAAAAAAACAAGAAAGAAAAGGGAACATGAACAAATTATTCAGATGTATAATAAAAAATATCAGCAATGTTGAAAAAATTTTCTGTCTTTAGAACTGAAAAATTCTCTCCTGTTCCTGCCTTCTATTTTTCTTCTTTATTAATCTCATATTAGAATTTGGAAATATGCTGTAAAGAGTCCCAGGGAAAGAGTACTGGAAAAGAACATGTAACTGGACCATCTTTTATCTCTCCAGTAGGTCATCTTTGCTCTAGGTTACATTTCCAACAAATGGAGGATAAGATTGTTGTACTTACAAACTGGTCAAACATAGAGGTGCTCAGACTGTTTGTCTCAGGGCAGAACAAAGGCTCTTGGGCATGAAAGTGAGAACGGAACTAAACAGAAATAGTTTATACTATACCTAATTCATCTTCTCCAAATCCCAAAATGTGGCCAGAAAAGTAGCCTCTACAGGAACCGCTAGTGCCGAGACACAGTGGTTTTTCTTGCCATTGCTTGGTCACAGGACTTTGCTGGAGAGTTAAAAAGTTCCTACAACAAAAACATCCCATACACCTACAATGAAAACACGCTTTTGCCTGAAGACAACAGTAAAATGTTTACAATACGATTTGTAACAAATAATTGTCGTGCCATAGACCTTACTCTGACAGGCAAAAGTAATACGGCCCATAATGTGCGTGGGTGCTGCGAAATTCTCCCCAAATGGGGAGAAAATATTGAAAGACAGTATTTGGCTTGGATGGGGCACTAACAGTACCTGAGTGGGAGAAAAGCCCTCCCCTTCCTCTGGGGAATGATACCTCCTGGCCAGGACTAGATTCCATGCTGTGCTATTAATCCGAGAGAGAGGGACAGGGGACGAGCATGGCATCAATAAACCTGTATAGTTCCTTGGAGTGACCAAGTACTCAGCTCTGCCACCTGCATGAATGCCAGGGACTTGGGAAACAAGATTCTTAATTTGGATTGTATCAGATTTTCACATAATTATCCATAACGTGACCTTGAACATTTAGGCTAACGTTCAATTTTGCAGCATTCCTACCTATAAAGACACATTATGTTCTGTTGCTCAAAGTATTGAAAATCTGGCCAAAGAAAAAATCTTTAGCCTTCCAAGGTAATTTTTTACAACTCACGTCAAACAAGTTTTCAATTTATTCATTTTTTATGGTAAATTTATGTGGAGGATGAAGGGAAAAGCCTAAATACTAAGGAAAGTCTATCAGAAGACTTCTCTGCCCACTCTTACAAATTAGTTTATGAATTTGATCAAGCTTGTTTACAGAAGGATCTTTTTATGTTTTACAGTTTTATTGAAGTATAATTTACATACCTTAACATTAACCCATTTAAAATGTACAGTTATATGAGTTTTAGCAAAGTTATACAGACATGCAACCATCACCATAATCAAAATTTAGAATGCCGTAGAACCTCTGTAAGTTGACCACCCAAGGGATTATAACAAACTGGTCAAATACAGAGGGGGTCCACATAGGGAACGAGGCCTCCTGTACTGATCGGTATGTGTGGTGCATGTCAGGGCTATGAAAATTAGGTCAACTTAAGAAGGTGGTTTTACTGCACTTACAACATCTCAAAAAATTCCTTCCTGGGGCGGTGCCTGTGGCTCAAAGTAGGAGGGTGCCAGCCCCATATGCCGGAGGTGGCGGGTTCAAACCTAGCCCTGGCCACAAAACTGCAAAAAAAAAAAATTCCTTCCTGCCTTTTTGTAGTCTATCCCTGCTCCCACTCTCAGCCCCATAATCTGTTTTCTGTTGCCTTATCTGCCACTTTTGCTAGAGATTTTAGATGAGATTTACGGAGATTTAGCATGAGGTTTTTGAGATTCAGTCATGGCATTACATGCACCAGTATTTCATTCCACAAAAAGAATATTTTTAAAAGTTATTCAATTAAACCACTATATTAGTTATTCAATTAAACTACAAGTGAGTAACCATATTTGCGCATGTCCCAGATCTACAGCCCAAAGGGAGACAATCATTCGAATGTGCTGTAGCAGTTTGCCATCTCATCAATGGATATGTCATTTGTTATAGCAAGCTGCGGTATCCCTGGTGGTCTGATGGCTAGGATTTAACACTTTCAAATTGTGGTATCACAAAACCTACCCATTGCGATCTCCAAACACATAGCTTCCATATAGTCTTTCAGACTGGCAGCCTCGGTAGACAAATCCACCAACCAAAGGACCGTTACTGAATGGTTTGAATTCTAAAAGTGATGGCTCACTTTCTGGAAAGAAATATAGCATTAAATCAAATGAAACATATTTTGATAAAGAAAAGTAATATAGACCAAGCTACAATTATTATCGCAATTTAGCTCTGAAATGTGCTCTGTGATGCATGAGATGGGGGGCTTGCTATAGATATTTAGTGAAAATAATTCGTCTTTGCTTAAACAGTACCAAAACTTAAAGGCCCTCCGTGCATAGTTCAATGGAATAAGTATTCTGCAAGTGCTCACTGTGATAATTGCCAAGACATAGTAAGTTTTCAATAAAATCAGGGTTTGGGTATTTTGGAAATCATGATTATTTACTTTAGAACCAAAATACTTTAAGAAAACACTATTTTTGTAAAATACTAATTTTCTTGCAGCAGTGCTTCTGCATATATTTAGTAAATTGGGACAAACCTCTGTCAAAATATATAAAACATTCAAAAGCTCACACTAATGAAAACAAAAGCATAGTACAGTAAGGGTCTTTAAAGCCACGTTTGTCATAGATTTAAAAGCACCGTAACTAAGCCCAATAATGCCTTCATTTTAAATATTCTAGTAGTTTTGTTTATAGAGTTGTATGATCTATCCCGATCAGTCCTTTTAAATTACACGTGTATGGTTATGTATCTCTTTCTGGGCATGGATTACATACTTGAAAATATGTATATTCACTGCAGTGGAAAAGCTCTTTAGCCAGTTGCGAGTTAATCTAAAAATTACCTTTTATTTACTTAATGTCAAATAAGTTGCTATCCACAGGCAGTATTTTATGCAAAAGTTTCTGGGAAAAGACAATACTTTTCAAGCCCTCATCCACTTCCATGTGATTGTGGTTAATATGATATAAAAAGTGGGAAAGATAAGAGAAGTTTTCAATAACCAGCATGCTGGCAGCATAACTGAATGACTGAGGTCACAAATGCAGGTGGCAGGCCGCTAGGGCCTTGCTACTCTATGGTGTATGATAATCAGCCCTTCTGTGCCTGGGTTTTCGTATCTGTACGGTGTGGCCGATGATGGCGCCTGTCCCCCAGACGTATTCAGCGAATGAAAGAAGGAAGGTTTACAGGGGGCTTCCCATGGGGGTCTAGCATGTATCACGGGCTGCAGGTATGTCTTTAAGTACATGAATGTAGGGCTGTGAATACTGTAACCAGTTTTAGAGGAACTCGGTTAATGTGACTGTAGAATTTAGATTAATGTACAAAATTTTATCAAGCTAATGGACTCACTAGATTTTTTTCCAAAGCACATTATTCTTTGGTTTGGTTTTCCTAAGCGGCACACCACACATACACACACATATCTGGGAAAAAAAGTCAACTAACTGAATACCATGTGAACTAACACAGATGCTTCGTTCCTCGTGTTAAATATTAATATTTGTATTGAATGAGTAAATAGAAGAAGCCATCAATTTAATAATCTTAACCCACTATGTTTCCTGACTCATGATAATATTTGATATATTGCTTCCCTCAAAAGGAATGACTACTAAAATACTGAAAAAATATGAAGTGCTTTAAACTTTATTATTATCTACCTTTGTATTTTAATGTTCCCTCTAAATATTCTAGGAATCATCTTATTAAAAACAGTGTTTAAACATCCCATTACCATGACTTGTTTTTACAAGTTGATTTCTTTGTTTTCTTCAAAATTAACACTTTAAAAATTATATTCTTATTCAAAACACACATAATTTTCCTAATTGCTGAGATTAGCAGGTTGGGTATTGAGACGTTTTTCAGCTTTAAGATTCATTTTTTTCTCTGTATATGATGTTAGGACAAGTTCTTCCTTATTATATTGAATAAATAGAACTTATTCACCTTGATTCTCTGACCAGCAAAGTGTAAGCTAGACTTAACTTGTGGATGTCCGTTACATTTTTTGGACCTACCAAGAACCCTTCTATTCCTGGCCATTAATCAGATGGAACCCTTTGGGCTTGTAAGAATCACTGGATCTTTGAAAAGTGAGCAATTTCTTTCCTCATCTCTGTTGGGCGAGATCTCTGTTTTTATGCTTTTCCAAATGCTCATTTTTCAGAAATCCTTTTCTCTTCAATTACTAAATATACTAGCAAAACCCCCACACTTAAGCAAAATCAGCAAATTATATCCTACATACCATAATCTTTCCCCTTTATTATCTGTAGGATTCTGGCTGATGATCTGTTTTTTCCATTGGAATCTGAACAAAGGATTGTTAAATTGATGTTCGTATCAGTGGGATGTCGATCCACAGCACATCTGGGTAACAAAAGGGGGAGAGACACACATTAATTCCTACTGGGGCACCTTACAGGCTCAGACTGGAGGTTACTGATGTGGGAAGAAGCCCCTTGTGGGCTGGCCAGGATCCTATGGGCAATTGACTTTGGGCTTTCTAGAAACCACGGAAGGAAACATTCCCACCTGTTCCTTTACTTTGCTGAAGCTTAATGATCTCTGGAATATATTTTTTAATTTCTCTTGGTATCTCCTTTTGTTATGAACAGGCACATGGTATTAAAAGATTTGCTAGTCTGTTGTTAAGGAATATTACAGGTATTGATAAGGTATTATGAGTGAAAATCAGGGCCATCATCAACTCCTATTTGTGCCACGTTATTAGCAATTTTTTTTATTTTTATTTTTTATTTTATTTTATTTTTTTTGAGACAGAGCCTCAAGCTGTCCCCCTGGGTAGAGTGCTATGGCTTCGCTGCTCACAGCAACCTCCAACTCCTGGGCTCAAGCGAGTCTCTTGCCTCAGCCTCCCAAGTAGCTGGGACCACAGGCGCCTGCCACAATGCCTGGCTATTTTTTGGTTGCAGCCATTAGTGTTGTTTGGCAGGCCCGGGCTGGATTTGAACCCGCTACCTTAGGTGTATGTGGCTGGCACCTTAGCCACTTGAGCCACAGGCACTGAGCCGTTATTAGCAATTTTAGCTGTACACTTAGTTTTGTGATTCTTACATGAAATCACTATATTCTAAAGTGTAGGCTGCTCTAAAAAAGCAAAATATATATTCCAGTTCAGGGACAGAGTAACGCTGGTCCCCACCAGCATAGGGGTCTCATATGTTGACACTGTCTTTGGGTTCTCTGCCCCTAATCTGGGGGTGCAGCATCTCTGTGACTTACGCTGCAGACTGTAAACTCCAGGAGGGCAGGTACCATTTCCAATTTCATCACTGTCTTCCTGTCACCTGGCTCAAAGCCGGGGAATGTGAAAACGACTCTGATGGGTTGACTATTTAAGTTATTGAGCCACTGGGCATGGGGACTTTGGGATGGGGGAAGAATAAAGTTAAATAATAGTTTCTGAAGTTCTCAACAATGCGGAAAACAGGCTTGTGTTGTTTTCAGGTCTCTCAGCAGTGGCGCTGCTGATGTTTTCTGGCCAGATAATTGTTTGTTTGTGGGGGGTTGTTCTGCACATTGTAGGACGTTTAGCAGCATCTCCAGCCTCTGCACACTGAAGGACAGTAGCACCGTCCACTACAACCCCTGTCCCGCACAGCCCCAGGTGTGAAAACCAAAATGTTTCCAGACCTTGCTAGATGTTCTCTGGGGGGCAAAAATTGCCCCATTGGGAATCACTGTTCTAGGCCAATAAAATACATTAATTCCTTAAAAACAAAACCAAATCATTGGGGTTATTAAATATATTTTAAATATAAAAACCTTTGAGAGTAGGTGTTGGTTCTTAAGAGACTGAAGTCATGTAGCAATTATGACAAAACAAACAACAGAACCCCAAAACCGTTGGTTCCAACTGATCCCATTCATGATAGGCACACTGTAAGCCTGGCCTGCCAAAGATGGGTTGGTTGTTCTGTGGCAACAGTCCCTTTATTGTCCTCTTTAGTTCAATGACTCACAGAACACAATACCTGGCAGGGATCCTGACAGAGACACACTGGGACTTAAGGTGGAGCTAAATCCACAGCCCGGAGAAAATTTTCCTGTAACTACCTTCCTTTTGAAGATAGAGAAACTATGACAAAAAGGGGTTTTGTCATAGGTTCAATAAGAAACAGGCCTCCCAGAAGTGGAGTTGCTGGGGGCTCTGAGCTTCGGGTGAATACCAGATCCACTGAGAACCTCTTGATGCTTCTAACCTTCAGTATTTTACATGAAAAAGGTGCCGGGACTACCTGTATGACACTATGATGGTGGATACATGTCATTACCATTTGTCTAAATCCACAGGACATCCAACACCATGGACCACAGGTGATTTATGTTCAAGGTTGTCAGTCCATTAATTCTAACAAATGCAAATGCACCACTCTGTGGGGGATGCTGATAGTGGGAGAGGCCTGCACGTGTGCAGGGAGGGGTCACATCAGAAATGTCTCTACCTCCTCAATTTTGCTGTGAATCTACAACTAAAAAATAGTTTATTTTAAAATAGTTGGGCGGTGGTATGTATATGTATGCCATGGAATACTATTCAGCCATAACAGAGATGGAGAGTTTGTATCTGTAGTTAGAACCCGGATGGATCTGAAGAGTACTCTCCTATGTAAAATATCCCAAGAATGCAAAATCAAGCATCCCATAACTCAGTACTCAATTGAAACTTGTAGATTAACAACATCATGCACATAAGAGAGAAAAACTCAGTTAAATTCAAGAAGAGGGGAGGGTGAGGGGATTTGGTAAGTTCCCACCTATCATGTACAGGTATGTGGCACACTCACTGGGTGAGGGTCACAACTACAACTTAGACTTTACCTCACACACACACACACACACACACAATGTAACCTAATTGTATGTGCCCTCATATTGATCTGAAATTTTAAAAAAAGAAAAGTGATTTTGAAAGAGTAGAATTTTAGAAATGTGTTAACAGTGGCTAGCCTCGAGATAAAAGCCATTGTGAAAAGATTGTATCCATATTAGGAAGTATCTATACGTGTTATCAGTTGTTTTTATTATTCGTAAAAATAAGTCTCTCTCCTACTTAAAAAACTGGGGTGGGAGTGGAAGGAGGAGGGCTGAGCTGAGTACTGCCAAGGGGCGTAAAGAGAATGTACTCAAGATACCTGGGTCAGCACCCAGCAGCGAAGACTTAATAAAAGTTAGCACTTCTTTTAGCCAACAATGAACACAGTACCCTTTCTGTTTCACGAAATTCTCTTCTGTTTAAAATACCCTTGGAGGGAGGTGGATCATAAACACCAACTTTTCCTTCAGTCCTCTCCCACCTGAGGAGGAGGTCAGACTCCACAGTACAGGCACCCTGCCACATGTATGACCAACAAAGCCCTCCCTCCCCTGCTTCTGTACCGAGGTTTAGGACCCCCCAGGAAAGTTTCGAGAAAGCTCCAGTGGAATTGTGGTGATTCAAGCTGCCTGACTTCAAAGTGCTGCTTTGTGGTGGTATCTGTGAGTTCTGAGCTATAGGAATGGAATGTGACAGTTTCCTCCACATCCTGAACCCACCTTAAGTATTCCCTGTCGCATAGATTTTAAGATCTGCTGAGATGCCAAAAAGGAAATGAACTGTAGACTTGGGCTTTGATGGAGGGGAGATGAAGGGCATGAGGGATTATAAAAATAAAAAGTCTGAGAAATATTCACCTTGCACATAGTGAACACTCAATAAACATTAAATAGCAATAATAACTTAGCTAGTAAATGAATGAACGTGGCCAGATATCCCTTAGTAGGAATAATAGACCATAGATTGGAATTGCTATACATACACTCCATAGCATTTTTTTAGTGTACTCCAAATTTCTCACTCTACATATTACTTAGTTTTTCTTTCTTTTAGTTCCTTGAAGTATACCAAGTAGTCATGGTAAATTCTGTTGACATCTGCAATTTTTTCAAGTGCAAAAACTTAACATTTGGCTCAACTCCTTGCAAATTAACACTCCATCATCTTACATTAAATGAAGCTATGATAATAAGAACTGTAATTTAATTAAAACCTACCACAGATCAGACACCATAGCTGGTGCTTTATGTAAAGATTTTAATTTAATCATGGCAGCATCCCTCTGAGATAGTTATTACTGTGTTTTCCCCCAAATAAGACCTACCCCCAAAATAAGCCCTAGCAGGATTTCTATGTATTTGATAAATATAAGCCCTACCCTGATAATAAGACCTAGTGATGGGTGATAGCCACGCCATGCATTTCTGCGCGGAGAGAGACATCCCCTGAAAATAAGCCCTAGTGGGTCTTCTTAAAAAAAAATAAATATAAGACAGTGTCTTATTTTTGGAAACATGGTATTACCTTCATTTACTATAAAAGAACTTAAGATTCAGAAGACCCAGAGCCAAATCAAAAGGTTTATCTCTCTAGATTGTTCACATGGAAGTCTTAGCTATTATGTGAGTCTAACAGTGTTTATTTGGTAATAACCCCTGCAAATTTAAAGTGAATTTTTTAAGTGAATTTGTCCTTTTCCTTGTCTAATCAGCCTTCCCAATCTGGTTCTCACTTTAATAGAATAAAGAATGCTACATACTCACTTGGATGATGACCTGGTGTGATTTTAGAGCACCTTTAGCTGCTCTGTGCCAGGACAACCTCTTTTTTTTTTTTCCAACTCCCAAATCTCCACCTGGCTTTAAGGCTGGTGAGAAGACAGACTTGTGTTCTTACCTGCCTGGATCATGGAGCCCGTGAACAAACACTTCGGGGGGCTGGTTGGTACTGTTGAAGTGTGGGTTGCTCCTTGGGATGGAGTAAGGCACGTTGCACATGTCCGTGTCCACATCCAGCCGCAGTACCGAGCCCGTGAAATCGCTGAGAGATGGGAGGACGGGGTAAGTTCTTTACATTTTAGTTACGTAGTTCACTCACACTAAATGAGGTGAGGGTGCTCTACGGGTAGAAGAATCATCCCTCATTTGAAACAAAATTATTTAAAAAGTTCCAAATTGTATATGGTGGGAAATGAAACCCAGAGGCAGTTTTTAGTTCCGGCTGAGGGACTGAACCAAGACACAGCCTGATGCTGGCCGACGGCAGCGGCACCAATAGTACACTGCCTTTTTGTACCTGTCTTCTTTATTTTTTGGCAATCTATGCATTTCACCCTCTCCGAGAAGGTCTGCTAGGCAAGGGGAGGCCATTCTGCAGTGTCGAGAGGTGCCAAAGCGTGAGGGGGCCTCTGCTCTCGGTGCTGGGTGTGACGGAGGCAGCACCGTAGCACAGAACTACAGAAGAGTCGCTCGTTTATGACAAGATGAAATATTACATCAGCATATTCCTAATTCCTCCTCATCTCATAAATGCAGACGCTGACCACAAAAGTTAAATATCTGACTGATCCAAAGGTGGTTTTTAACTCAGTGGCTCAGCTCTTTTCTCCTGACGTTGAAAACATGTTAACATCAAGAGTAACCTGTTGGTGTTAGCCTTTTACCTCAAACCATCCATTTCTTCCATATCATCCAGTGTGATCATCCCATCCCCAAGAATGATGTACAGAAAGCCGTCGGGGCCAAAGAGCAGTTGCCCTCCCAGGTGCTTTCTGTGGAGTTCTGCAACTTCAAGAAATACTCTGGCTGTTCTCAAGTCAACTTGATGGGGGTTTTTCCTACAATATGGGGAGAAAACAGTAGCACAATTGTTAAAGACAGAAGACGACCCCACTGCAAAGTAAAGATAAACAATTAGGGAAGCAAACACCCAGCAGGTAGACAAGGAAACACACAGTGGAGAGGAAGCTAAACAAAAATTACTAAAATGTTACATTACTCTAAGTTTCAGAAGTAGTGTTTCCATTGAACAATTGAGGAAAAGTCCCAGAGCCATCATTTTTTCTCAATTTCTCTTAAAGGCAAAACAGATTTTAAGCAAGGTGAAGATTCTGATTTGACTATTACCACTTTATGGCTAATTATTTGTAGCTTCCAAATAAAACACTTATGAAGAGAGGATGAGAGAATAAGATTTAAAGATTTTTATGCTTTGGTGCATTTGAGCGATACCTGGATACTGTGTATTCCACGACCCTAAGAATGTGGTCATGAGGCCCGATAGCCCACCGTTCTTGGTTGGTGGTATAAGACACATACAGCTTTCCATTTTTCTTGTAATTGGGATGGAATGCAAGGCTTAGCAGTCCTCTTTCATCTCCCCCCTGCAATCAAACGAAAAACACAAAGAATTGTGAAGTTAATTATGTTCTTTATTGTGTTTCAACTGGAACCCCAAAAGAGTTTCTTTCTTTCTTTGGGATAATCTGTGCCCAACCTCTTTTCTTTTCTTCCTTGCCTATTGCACAAAAAAGGATTATAAACCATTTCACTTTGTGGAGCTCTTTAAGGGTTAGAACAAGACAATCGTCTCGTGTGGTTATCTATGCTCAAGAGTCTTATACCACTTTTGTCGAGTGATTTGTGTATGTAATCTTGGGAGACTATAAAGACAAGTTTAAGTGCTGTGAAGAATTCTTTCCTGGGTTACTAGGTTGCTTGTAGTTCATAGAAGACAAATAAAAAGGTTCATAATCAACAGTCACTTCTAATCCAAGTCTCCAAAACCTAAAACACAGTGTGGGCTGCCAACTCCCACTGTCTTGGCAATATGTTTAGAAAACAGTTAAATTGCTTGTGTAATATGTAAACCTTTGCTTTACCCTGGAGGCATCTACATCAGTTGTCACAACGATGGTGGTCTGTTCATCATAGCTAGGTAATAGGCAGCCTTGGCCCATCTATATAGAAATGAGGCATTTTTATTCCGATCCCTTCACTGCACAGGGCTTTTCTTTATAGAAGGATGAAGAAGTGGGAGGAGGGCTAAAGGCCAAGGCTGAGGGAGGGGTGGGAGAAATGCTAGAGAAGAAAGGGGACACTAGGAAATAAAAGAAAAATCCCAAACAACTTTCCTTTGTTATTATATGAATGTCAAGGATTGTATACATTAGGCATGCCAAATGCTGTAACAATTAAAACATCATCCTGTTCTTAAATAGAAAGGCATTTTATCTTTCTTTTCTGCTAATTCAGCTTGTTGAAATTCAATATGGTCTTAGCTTTTGTTCTATCCCACAAGTAGTCGAGGAATTTCTATAATGAAATCAAAGTATCTAAAATTATCTAGATCTGAGCCTTAAAGTTCACATACTAGTAAGCCAAGGAACACTTTCTCTGATGTGTTATCCACGGTGGTGGAAAATAGGACAGAAACGGAATCCTGCAACTGCCCAGAGTTCATCGTGTTATTTATCCTACGTAAAAACGTATGAGAAGTTATTCCTTTTGAGTGGCAGAGGAGAAGAAAGTATTTAATATTGCACCTTCTTCACAAGGTCAAGCTCAGCCAACGGAAACACTCTCGTGCTTTTGGCCCCCAGAATAGTGTGTGTTACGAGCAAAGCATAGACCTGTTTGTAGTTCTTATTCTACATGGATTTTAGAATTTAAAGTTCAGGGTATAAACAGTTCACTTTCAATAAAAATCCTTTGTCTCCTGGGCTAGGGAAAACTATTTTTAGATATATGCCGTGTAAAGTGGAACCCTCCAAAGTTTGAGAGTGTGTGAATTAACAAAGTGGTTGCGAATAACCCACAACTATCAAAAATCATTCTTTAAAAATCAGAAAAGTTAACCTTTCTTCACATTACAATATGTGTAATTTTAATTTTCACTATAAGGGTAAGACTCTGATTTGTGGGTCTCTGTTTTCCAGATTCTCTCGTCATAATGATTTTAATTTTGACTTCATGCTGCTGTTTTTCTTCTTATAATTTTGTTAAATAAAAATCGTTTGGCTTTCTTAGGAGACACTGGAAGCTGGGATGTGTAACTAAGATTCAGCTGTAGCGAAGCCACTGCACGTTTAAACCCCCCTGACGGATTGTATAAGGAGGCCCATGGGTGGGATTTAGTTTGTGATTAATTCCTCTCTCCAGTATATTTCCCTCTACAGCTGAGAGTGCAGGTTAAGTACTGCACGGCTGCTTCTCAAATGTTTGTGTTTCACTGTAAGAAGCTTTCGCTGAAAGTACTTCTTTGTAGTTTTTAATCAAATCATCAGAAATACAATTTGAATTGGACAGCAACATGGTTTAAAACTGTGTTGCTTGCTTTTCAGGAATTAGGAATGTAGAATTAATGCACTGTAGAAAGACAGATGGGAAAAGAGATTTAAACAAATCCACCAGGGATAGGAGATAATTGTTCACTTTAGAGATACAGCCTCACACGGGTGACTTCGGAGGCTTCCCTGACGTTTACTAAAGTGCTGAATATGGAAACAGAATGAGATGTGAAGGATTGAGAAGTGAATCAAAAAAGCACTTTAAAAAATGTCAGTAATTCTGATTTTTCAGGTTATAGGATTTACATAGGATTAATCATTACACAAACCCTCTCTCTCTTTTTTTTTGGTTAATTTCTAGGTGCAAAGTAGTGTCCTGATTGGTTTAAAAACTTAACTGCTCTTAGGTCATTTCAGTGAAATATTAATTTTCATAACTACAATGATGGAAAAATTTAATGTATTATGTAAATATCCTAGAAGGTCTCTTGAATCTAGCTTTGAAAATTCTATAACAGGACTCCTAAATGTTCAGAGATTAGAAAGACAGAGACTCCTGGTGTGCCCAAAGATTAAGTTACTGATAGGCTCACATTTCACATGGCATTAGCCTTCAGAGTTATGCAGTCTATTTAATTGACAACCCGTGATTTAACTCTCACATACAAACCTATCTTTGAGGTCTGGGTCATTCCTTTTTCAAGGTCTATATGGTGAAATATGTTGATTGGGCATTGAAAAGTTAACTTCAGTTAGAGCCACACCTCAGAGGCAGCACCAGACACTTAAGCCCCCTCCCCACTGCCTCCACCCCCCAGCCCCCTGGACCTCCAAGGCAGTGGTTCTCGACCTTCCTAATGCTGCGCCCCTTTAACACAGTTCCTCAATTTGTGGTGACCCCCAACCACCAAACTATTTTCGTCGCTACTTCATAATTGTAATTTTGCTACTGTTATGAATTATAATGTAAATACCTGATATGCAGGATATATTTAGGCAACCCCCATGAAAGGGTCATAGGACCCCCAAGGGGTCGCAACCCACAGGTTGAGAACTGCCGCTGTAAGGGCTTTAACTACAGTCTTCACCAATACATTGTCCTAGCTGAGAGCCTGAGCACTGGGACAGGCATCCAGGACTGGCCAGCAGGCCAGACCTCCCAGGCTCTGGTTCTTCCTTTCTATTGTCTTAGCCCCTTTTATACCAGCTCTAACTGCTGGTCTGAGCCCCAATCCCAAAGGCTCCCTTCTCTTTACTGTTTCAGAATCTGATAACGCAGCTTTACAGGCTCAACAGAAAGAATCAATAAAGCCTCGTGCCAATGCAACTATCCCTTCTCCTTCTTGCTCCTTCCCACCCGCCCCTCATTCTGGGTGGCTCGATGGCTCGAAGGAGATGGAATCAAAAGCAGAAACTCTGTCCAGAAATGGCAATTATTGAATTGAGTCTAGGGAGCATCTGGGGAGAATGAGTCTTTGTGATTATCTGAGCCAAGCTGGCTAAGAAAAGGAGAAAAACACAGCAACAGAATGGCAAATGGAAGATTTGTGGTCCAGGGAGACACGCCTTTCAAAAAGACACTGACTTTTAACATTATACTTTTGCAAACTATTAACTGTTAATCAAAATGTTCATTCTTACTTTTGTGAAAACCAGTGATTTGTCCAAATAGTCACGTTATCTTTGACTTCACTATTAATAACGAACTCTTCGTACGCCTGATGTGCTTCTGGGAGTGGCATTGCTAGAACAAAACTGAAGCCCAAATGTGCAACAAGTAATTTACCAACAAGACCTGCAAGACTTTAGGGTTTCCTCTGTTTGGAGACTGCTTTATTTCTTTCTATTTTTCTGTATACATTTTTTTTTTAAACTGGCTAGAGCCTCACCCAAGCATCGTAGGCCACCATGAGAGCCACCCTGCCCCTTTGCTCAGCTCCCGCAAACTACACCAGCTTCTGGACAGCACCACACCGAGCACAAGGGACTGCTCAAATCCTGGTTGTTGAATGATTAGAAACTAATGTCCCCATACTCTGCAGAATCTTGAGATTGAGGGTAAAGCAAGTAACCTTTCTCTGGTGCTTTTAATAAGTATTTAATTGTCTGCCATTCTAGTCAGCACTCAGTTCTTAGGGGCAATTTCACAGGGTCCACGGAAAATCGATAAAATCCCCAAATGAAGAGAATTGACGACTTTAACGTCAGATCAGACCTACTACTCCTGGAGCTTTGGGAGAACGCTTTCCTGGTGAGCAAATCAAAGTTCTAGCCAATTGACTATTTCTCTTCTTTGAATAATAATAAAGTATCCATGTGAAAAAGGTCAGTAATCATAACGTGATTATAACAGAAAGAATTTTTTGTTTCTTTTTTAAGAGAAATTGCAGCACGCAATCTTTCCCTGTGACATTATTTTAAAGACAACATTTTCTTCATACTTTCCAAGTGGCTAAAGTTAATTTTGTTGGATTTCTGTTTTTGTTTCAAATTTGCCTCTATCTCTTTTGGGGAAGGCTGACTGAGGGTTTAGGAAACAGAACTGAGCAGCATTGAACTAGCAGCATCATGCACTTGGCACAATTTTTCACACTGACTTTCTGGCCAGTGACTAACTTCAAGTTCAGCAGTCTATACCTGGGTCCTACGGTATCAAGAAGCAGTGAAACATGTTAAGGTAAATAATGTGATACTATGTCCAAGATATTATTTGTTACTGCCTTTCAAAAAATATTTTATTTAACGTTTATTCAACAAGTATTGACTGAATAACCATTAGGTGTTAGACATGACACTTGACCTGAAGGATGAGACGATAAGAATAAATCCCTGCCTTCAAGGAGTTTATATATGAGAACAGATAACAAAATGTAGTTTTCAGTTGTTTAGTTGCCACCATATTCTTTATGATGTAGAATTTTGGAGAAGTTAAACAATGCTACACTATTAGCAGTCTGCATGGCCCAGGGACAAGTATTAAAGAGAGTAAATAAATATTCCTGGTAACTTTTCACACAGAGATTAATTCATATATTAGCACCTGAGGTTTCTCTATTCTTAAACTTGGTAAGGCAGAGGAAAAAAAGCTTGGTCAT